TCTGGTGTTATATCTGTCCTGCATCTTTCAAAGCATATTGCACCGGTTTCAGGGTGACCCCACACACCAAGGCAAGACAATTTGCCAAAGCCTGGTCTTTATGGCTAGCCCAGAAAGCAGGCAGCCTGGGAGATCAGGGATGCTTAGTAGAAGTGATGAGATGCAAAGGTAGACTTGGCAATGAGAGTGTTTGCTACCGCTCTGGAGACAATCCTGGATCAGTTCAGGGCTAGATCCCAGCAGACAAGCCAGGCACCCTGCAGTGAGGAAGGATGGTCCAGTGATTAGTGCATTTGTCTAGGCTGGGAGAGATCTGGGTTTGATTCTCTCCTCTGCCACGTGTGACTGCAGGCAAACTCCTTAATCCTCACCTTGTAAAATGAGACTCATAGCCCTGCCCTGCCTCACAGAAGGCTGCTAAGATAAGTGTATTACTGATTCCCATGGTGGGGCCAGATAGAAACCTGCAGTGTATACCTGTGCTGTGCTGAAATCCAGAGTGGTGTCTCTGATAGCTCTGCAGCCCGTAGGAGGGTGAGAAAGTGCTCTCTATAATTGTGAGGTGTCTCTTACTCATTGTACTTAGCCCTAGGGTGACCCTGTCTGGATGACCTTGGTGGGGTGTCACACCAGTGCTGTTATTTACATACCATTTCTTTGGTTCTAACCCCATCATCTTGTGTACATGAGATAACTGGAGGCTTGAATGACTTCATGGATCTAGCATAGGGACTTCCCTTAAAGGGTTGGCAGCCTTCTGACCTCATGAGAGAGGCAGTTGGGGGAAAAGGGCACATACCCTGGAGCACTTGGTTTAGAAAGACCCCTAAGAAATGCCCTGCATGCTGGTTGTGGTGAGTAAGGGAAAGTCAGTGGCCCCACGAGTGGCAGGAATAGGGGACTGATGGATACAGGCCATAAAGACAAATAACTCAATAAGCCTCCAAACCTGGTGACTGGTTCCCTCTACATCTGTAATTACACAAATGGAAAACAACTTTGACCCATTTCACTCTTAAGCCTCAATACCTTAAGTCAACAGACCTTACTTCAGGGGCCCCTACTCCAATGCTAGGGGTTGACTGCTCCCAGCGGCTGCTACTCCCCATGGACCACTCTCCAGATAACTTCCAGAGCTGCCCCTGGGGCCGCTGCTGCTCGGGCAGTCCCCTAGGCACCCCGGGACCCATGGTCAGGTGCTCCCCAGAGCCAGGCACACCAACTGGTGCATGGGTGCTCCCCGGAGCCAGCTGCTGGGGCCGCCCAAGCAGCAGCCGGTGCGGCCAGCCCTGGGGATGGCCTGAGCAGCTGGCCCTGCGGCCGTTCCAGCAGTGGCTGGTGCGGCTGGCTATGGGGCACCGGAGCAGCTGGTCCTGGAGCCATCTGCTCGGGTGGCCCTGCAGTCAGCCGTACCAGCTGCTCTGGAAGTTCTGGAGGTCACAGAAAGTCATGGAATCCGTGACTTCTACGACCTCTGTGACAGAATCACAGGCTTATCCATGATTAAAATGATCAGTGGCTGGACCAAATGATATTTCCTAGTTTGTATACTTGGACTGGCCAGGGAGATTCAGTCCCTGGAGGGAACCAGGGAGTTAGCCACACCCTCCTCTAGCTGGGTCGATGGGCCCAGAGTGTTGTAACTAAAGAGAGGCTCAACACAAGGATAGCTCAAGCTGATGTGAGGCGTTTGATGGGGAACAAAAGTTGGGAATGGAAAGCCCAGCCCGTGGGTGAAAAGCCTTTGGTATGTTTATTAAGTCAAAAGTGAAATGGCAGAGAAAGAACTAGAGCTGCTGGGCTGGGGAATCTTCCAAAGAGACAAAGCTACTGTAACTAGTTGTGTGATTTATGCTCATTATCAGCAGCATTATTTTCACTGAAATCAGGTTGGTTTCCAGAGAACCAGGAAAGTTGGTTGATTCTGAGGGGTGAGGGGATTGCCCCAGCGGTCACCCATGTTAAGAGTGGTGATGGATAACTATGCTAACTCTGAGCTATGGGGAGATGGTAACACTGCTATCCCCTGTCTGCCTCATTCCTTATTCCATTCATGACTCAGGGAACATGACATCCAGGGCACTCCTAACTGCCTATGGAGGGTTGCTCTTATTATTGAGGCATGTACTATGAAAGGGTCAGTCTGAGGTTATAAGGAAGGTTCCAATCAGCTCTTAGCTCTCCTGTGCTGCTCTGCCCACCTCTTGCTCTAATATTCTCTGTAAATCCAGCTGCCCTTGGCAGCCAAAGGCACAAGGACAAGGATTTCCACTCTCTTGGTGAATCTAGAACAAGGAGGTGATGGTGAGTAAAAAGGAGCTCAGTGGTGTTACCACAGGCTCAGCTACAAAACAAGTCAGAGCTCTCAGTTCAATTGCAAAACCCAGCTGCATCCTATCCCCAAGATAAGCCAACAGGAGGCAATTAAATTTCACAAGTATAAAGTCCCCTGGCTCATGAGATCAGAGACCCAGGATCAGTCTAGGCTCATGGCTTCATTTTGACTCCCTGATATGTCAGCTGGGACAGTCACGAATGTTTCTACTAAATGAAAAGGATGAAGATCAGCTTGCTGTAAATGGTGATAAATGGCCTGTCACTAAATAAAAACATTCCACTGTGATTGTGACGAGGATCTAACTGGTGTCAGAAAAGTCACTGCCTGTTTCAGATGGTTAGAGGATGCCTCCCACCTCAAACAATTTTCACAGTAGTTGTCAGAACCTAGTGGGGTGGGGGTGGTTCAGTTGCTTTAAAACCCCAACATATCTCCTAGTTTCTTATCCAGACACCCCTCCTTAAAATGGTGACACTATCCATACCCAGAATGAAAAGTTAGCTGCTGCTAATGTCAAAGAACCTGTGCCTCTATCTGGCTTTCTGATTTTTTGGCACACAATGTCTTTCCTTCATAAGCCCACATGAAGGCAGATCTCTTCCCAGCAAAGTGCAATGTTAAGGAAATATTTAACCAGGTTTAAAAATTGTTTTGCCATTGGACTCTACACAAAAAAAGCACCTCTCGAAGAATCTCTTGGGTGAAAAGAATAAGGACTTAGGTATTCACCTCCACCATACATGACTCGAGTACCCAGAGTCAAAGGATAACAATGATTTCCTTTCATTCTGTATTAGCCCCAGTAAATTAAAAACCATGATCTCTCTGTATTTAAATCTTTGAAATTTACATTTCCTAAAGAAGTGGTTGATACTGGGCATGTGTGAGTGGGGTAATTGCTGATAAGAATAGAAAGGTATATTAGGAGAGACCCACAGTGCACCATAAAAGGCCAGCTGCCACCAGGCAGTTTTGGAGTCTGAGTCAGAGAGAGATTCAGTCGGGAGCAGACGGCTGAACTGGAAACCAGCAAGAGAAGCCAAAGGAAAGAAGTCAGAAAAGCTGCTGCAGAGAGAGACAGAGAAAAGAAAACTGGAGCAGAGCAGAGCAGAGCTGACTGACCAGGAGCTGAACAGCGATTAAAAAGAATACTAAAAGATTTATCACAGCAGCAGTAGTGATATAAAGGGATACCAATGAATTTATAAAGTAAGCTTGCCAGTTTTAATATAATTTTAGTGTAGTGTAGTCTAGCATAGTATTTAACATGTGTATGCTAGAAGTGTGTGTGTTTTTAATTGTATTTTACTTATGCAAAACTTAAAGCAGTGGTTCTCAACCAGGGGTACGTGTACCCCTGGGGGTAGTCAAAGGTCTTCCAGGGGGTACTCAACTCATCTAGATCAGTGTTTCTCAACCTGGGGTTTGCAGCCTCCAGGGAGGTCACGGGACGGGCTTGCAAGTGCAGGGCCGAAATCAGTGGGTGACAGCCAGGGCTTCAGCCCTGGACAGCAGGGCTTGGACTTCAGACAAGGCTCACAAGTGAAAAACAGGCTCAAGTATCACACTGAAATGTAAGTACAATATTTATATTCCAATTGATTTATTTTATAATTATATGGTAAAAATGAGAACGTCAGCAATTTTTCAGTAAGTGTGCTGTGACCCTTTAGTATTTTTATGTCTGATTTTGTAAGCAAGTAGTTTTTAAGTGAGGTGAAATGGAGTATGGAAGACAAATCAAGACACCGGGAAAGGGTATAGTAGTCTGGAAAGGTTGAGAACCACTGATTTAAAGAACTACTGTCAGCAATTTGTTACAAACTGGCCACTTGTAACAAAGCACTTTGCTTAGAATCGTAAACCGTATACTACTGTGGTTTAAATGCTCTTTAAATTTGGAACAAGGGATTTGTGTCTCGGGGATTTTGTGTTTTGTTTAGAATTTTTAGGATACAGCGTATTAGGGATTATTAGTTACTTTGTTTTGGAAAACAATACTGCCTGTGTCAATTACTTTATCCGAAGGCTATATCCATGTCCTTTAGCGTTTCCTTAACAACCCTGGAAACTTATACCTCGGGAAGGACAGTTTAAGGGGGGTAGGGTATTATAGCGGCATCCCCAAAATCAATTTTTCGGGGTTACACGGTCACTGGACCATCCTTCCTCTCTGGGTTAAGCCCTAACATGGACAAATTTCTCACAATTAATTTTTTGTATGCCTATTCCAAAATTCATCTTGGTTAAAATAAATCTGTAATGCCTCTTCCTAGGTTTATATCCTCAAATGCAGTTCCAGGAGGTGAACCCCACCCAGTCCATCACAGAAGTCCCATTGTCAGTACCTTTCATCACTCCACTGGTAAAATAGCATCCTGAATTCCTTCTGCATGTATAGGTAAGGGGCGGGGCTTCACTACAAGGTCCCAAACCACCCACCATTTTTTAGGATGGGACCTGAGGCTACAATGTTTGAGGGCCAGTTGGCAGATGTGGGGGCACTTTGGGGGGACCCTGATCAGACAATCTGATCTCCCTTGCCTGAACCCAAGAATATCCCATGTCACCCTGAACACCTCCATGCATGGTACTGCCCTGGTTTCCTGCAGTCCCTTGGAATGTTGTTACTTGTGAATTTCAAGGATGTTTTTGCTTTTACCTGGCGGGCTGTGGCAGACACACACATGATGCTCTCACCAGAGATATTGCCAGTGCTTGGGCAGAGGTTCTGGCTGGGCACTCGACGCCCATAAAATGCAGATAGGATGCTAATGGAGGTCTTGTGGGGACAAATGACTCCCAGTTGCTCCCCATCACAGGCATGGGCTGTGTGGTTCTTCAGCACCTTTTGAAGGTAACCTGAGAGGAGTAAAACACACAGATGTTGTATGCAGGGTCGTTGTAGCCATGCTAGTCCCAACTTGTCCCTATAAAACATAAAGAGTCATTAGAGCTGGGAAGTGTTAGAGCCGCAGGGAATGAGAACACAGCCTCCAGACTCCTGGCAGCGGGGGCAGGAAGGTTCAAGACCCAGTTGGAGGAGATGGCCCTGAAGTATCCCAGGCAAATGCAAACTCAGGAAAGGAGGGAGATATTGTGGCAGGGAGGGGAATGCACTTTTCTGCCAGGCAGAGGGAGGGGAATATTGTACCAAGGTCTATACCAGCAGTTCTCAAACTATGGGTCGGGACACCAAAGTGGGTCACAACCCCATTTTAATGGGGTTGCCAGGGCTGGCATTAGACTTGCTGGGGCCCAGGGCCAAAGCCTGAGCCTTACCACCCAGGGCCAAAGCCAAAGCCTGAGGGCTCCCACCATGGTTGGTGGGGCTCAAGTTACAGGCCCCCTGCCTGGGGATGAAGCCCTTGGGCTTTGGCTCCCGTGCCTGGGCCAGTGAGGCTTGGGCTTTGGCTTTGATCCTCCCCACCTGGGGCAGCAGAGCTTAGGCAGGCTCAGGCTTTGGTCCCCACTCCTGGGGTCATTTTTGTTGTAGTAATTTTTGTTGTCAGAAGCGGGTCACAGTGCATTGAAGTTTGAGAACCCTAGTCTACGCTAAGGGTTGTCCAAAGTGGGATAAAAGTAATAAAAACCAGCTCAGCCACTTGGAAAGAATAAGCAAGAGTTGGAGACAAACATTTGGGTTTTTTTAACCTGTCTTTAAGCTAAAAGAACCAATTGGCGGTTTTCAAGGTTTTTGGTGACATAACAAACTTACTTTAGAAACAGACCAAGATGGTTCATAGATTCATAGCTTCTAAGGCCAGGGGGGACAATTATAATAATCTAATAGTTTTCATAACAGACCACAGAAATTCACCAGCAGCACTTGCCTCAAGCCCAATCACTTGTGGTTGAACTAGATCTTATCATTAAGAAAGACATCCAGTCTTGACTTAATGACACCAAGTGAAGGAAAACGCCCCACATCCCTTGGTGAGCTGTTGTGATGGCTAATTATTCTCACTGTTCAAAAGTTACACCTTATTTCCACTTCAATTTTTCTAACTTGAATTTACAGCCATTGGATCTTGTTACACCTTTGCCTGCCAGATTAAAGAGCCCTGTAGTATCAGATATATTTTGTGCAGGTACTTATAGACCAAGATTAAGTTGCCTCTCGAGACACAATGCACTGGCACTCAGGGAATCGGAGTTCAGATCACCAGCTCTTCCACAGCCAGTTCCTCACATTGTTCTCCTATTCCCCAGCTGAGCAGAGGGCTTGGGACACTGAGGAGACATCAAGTTTGTTCTGGAGGGACCTGCATTAAGACCTCTCCAAGGTCACTTCTACATTAAAAAAATGTAAGCCAGGCCTTATCCTGAGAAGACTATCACAGGAAGTGGCCATGTCCAGGCCCCATTTATACAGGAGTAAATCAGGAATAACTCCACCAAAGTTGGCAGAATTATACATTAGTGTAAGGGGAGAATTAGGCCCTTCACTTTTTAGCTTCTTCCCCTTCCCCTCATCACTGTTAGAATCATAGAATCATAGAATATAAGGGTTGGAAGGGACCCCAGAAGGTCATCTAGTCCAACCCCCTGCTCAAAGCAGGACCAATTCCCAGTTAAATCATCCCAGCCAGGGCTTTGTCAAGCCTGACCTTAAAAACCTCTAAGGAAGGAGATTCTACCACCTCCCTAGGTAACGCATTCCAGTGTTTCACCACCCTCTTAGTGAAAAAGTTTTTCCTAATATCCAATCTAAACCTCCCCCACTGCAGCTTGAGACCATTACTCCTCGTTCTGTCATCTGATACCATTGAGAACAGTCTAGAGCCATCCTCTTTGGAACCCCCTTTCAGGTAGTTGAAAGCAGCTATCAAATCCCCCCTCATTCTTCTCTTCTGCAGGCTAAACAATCCCAGCTCCCTCAGCCTCTCCTCATAACTCATGTGTTCCAGACCCCTAATCATTTTTGTTGCCCTTCGCTGGACTCTCTCCAATTTATCCACATCCTTCTTGAAGTGTGGGGCCCAAAACTGGACACAGTACTCCAGATGAGGCCTCACCAATGTCGAATAGAGGGGAACGATCACGTCCCTCGATCTGCTCGCTATGCCCCTACTTATACATCCCAAAATGCCATTGGCCTTCTTGGCAACAAGGGCACACTGCTGACTCATATCCAGCTTCTCGTCCACTGTCACCCCTAGGTCCTTTTCCGCAGAACTGCTGCCTAGCCATTCGGTCCCTAGTCTGTAGCTGTGAATTGGGTTCTTCCGTCCTAAGTGCAGGACCCTGCACTTATCCTTATTGAACCTCATCAGATTTCTTTTGGCCCAATCCTCCAATTTGTCTAGGTCCTTCTGTATCCTATCCCTCCCCTCCAGCGTATCTACCACTCCTCCCAGTTTAGTATCATCCGCAAATTTGCTGAGAGTGCAATCCACACCATCCTCGAGATCATTTATGAAGATATTGAACAAAACCGGCCCCAGGACCGACCCTTGGGGCACTCCACTTGATACCGGCTGCCAACTAGACATGGAGCCATTGATAACTACCCGTTGAGCCCGACAATCTAGCCAGCTTTCTACCCACCTTGTAGTGCATTCATCCAGCCCATACTTCCTTAACTTGCTGACAAGAATACTGTGGGAGACCGTGTCAAAAGCTTTGCTAAAGTCAAGAAACAATACATCCACTGCTTTCCCTTCATCCACAGAACCAGTAATCTCATCATAGAAGGCGATTAGATTAGTCAGGCATGACCTTCCCTTGGTGAATCCATGCTGGCTGTTCCTGATCACTTTCCTCTCATGCAAGTGCTTCAGGATTGATTCTTTGAGGACCTGCTCCATGATTTTTCCAGGGACTGAAGTGAGGCTGACTGGCCTGTAGTTCCCAGGATCCTCCTTCTTCCCTTTTTTAAAGATTGGCACTACATTAGCCTTTTTCCAGTCATCCGGGACTTCCCCGGTTCGCCACGAGTTTTCAAAGATAATGGCCAATGGCTCTGCAATCACAGCCGCCAGTTCCTTCAGCACTCTCGGATGCAACTCGTCCGGCCCCATGGACTTGTGCACGTCCAGCTTTTCTAAATAGTCCCTAACCACCTCAGAAAGAGTTATTCAGCTCTTTACAGCAGGGAATGAGATGTGCTCAGTCTGACATGAAAGCTTCTACAGAAGCATTTCCCCATGACTGAAGCTCCAGCCCTGTGTCTGAAGTACATAGCTTGTGTCAGGGAGCTTTTGCTTATCAGCCAGCTGAGCAGCGGTGGTTTCACTGAGAACAAGAGAAGCAGCAAGGAGGCAAAGTTAAAAAACCATGAAAGCTTGGTTCTAGATATTGAGGGGCCAGTGCTCCACACATGAAGTTTTCAGGTCTCACATGAGTCATTCCTCACCCTGCTCTTCTCTCTCTGCAGTTCCACTACTCATACTATATCTCCCTCATTGGGCCCCTTTCAGCTAAACAAGGAAATAAAACCAGAGTAAGTTACAATTGCCTCCCTCCCAGTTCTCTGTGCCATTTGCAATGATTAATTTAATGACATAGACCTACTAAGTGAAGGACCATGTGGAGAGGCTCCCCCATGTAGATCCCTGACCTCATTAACATGTGATCCTGTGCTACGGAAGTCAAGGGGATCATTGGCAGTGAGCTGTACAGTAGCAGAATCTGACCCTCAGAGGGCACCAAAGCAGCAAGAGCTACAGGGCTTAAAACCAGCCAAAGCCACAGCACAGCATTGAGGGCCACTTTCAGTTTCCCTTACCATGCACACTTCAGCCTGAGTATATCCTGACACTCATGACTGTGGCCAGACTTTGAAGGAAAGGTCCCTAGGGAACCCTCCCTACTTCACGTCTCACGAGCCCATATTTAGACAGACACCTATATGCTCCATTCCAGAGGTCAGCACTGTCCCGCGTTCAATGGGGCGCCAATGCCCCCTGACACTGCACTTTTTGCAGCCATTGTGGGCAAGGCCAGGTATACTGTGCAGGCGTTGGGCCTACATCCAGTATAAAGGTCTCTTGGTTTCTATGACAATCTGGGGGGTCAGGCTGAAAAATCCACAGCAGCTGGAGGTGAATTACAAAAACAGGAGCTCCTTATGTTGTTAAATATGACAATGAATATAATCCAGTCTGGGTACCAGGTTATTTCACGCTGTTAATTTCACTCAGCCCCTGAAGATCAGTTCTCAGTGCATGGCAGATACTGCCATGTAGGCCTCAGCAGTGGGGAAGAGGGAGGTTTTGGTAGCTGAGGAGGCGGCAGTTGGGATTTTTGGCTGCGTGGAAGGTGATGGAGGCAGAGTGGGATTGTGGGATGAGCACAGTAGCTGGATGTTGGTGCTAAAAGGGCCAGCAGTGAAATAGCAACCACATTAACTATTTAAGTGGTCTTCAGTGGGTTTCAGAATTAATACTGCAGCTCAGCTCTCTTGTTTAAGACTGTCAGGCTGTCTAAGGCAAGACTGCATCCGCTTACACTCAATTTTCTTCTGGCAGGTTTTCTTTGCAACCATTTTGGGGTGGGGTTGGATATTTATAATGAAAGTTACAATCTTTAGTGCATTTCTCTGGCAAGGGGTGGACATTGACAAATGCTGCAGCTGAAGAATCATGGAATACATAGCGCCCTGACCATGAGCGACTTGCCCTCTCCCCGCCCAACGTACATCGTACTGGGCTTTTGATTAGATTTGCTCATATTGCCCCCCATCAAAATTAATTGCCAGGTCGAGGGGGAGGAAATCTGGCTGTGAGTTGCCTTCCCCGCAGCTTGTGATTAGCAGGGAGCTTCCCCCTCTCTGATACTTGCTGAGGGAAGGAACCATGTCCTCTAGTACCAGCACTGGCCATTAATTACTGAGGTTGTATGAAACTCCTGACATATCA